CACTAAGCCAGGCAGCTTCTGGACATCAGCAAAGCCTCCTTGTCTAAAGAGAAGTCCTCTCCCACCAAAGACCACAGAATCTTCAAAGCCGTATGGAAGTTCAAGGTAAACATTGACTTCTCCAGAATCCTCTTTTAAAGCCCCAGCACTGGAATGTGAATGATCTCATCTGATACAGCTTTCCCAACAGAAGTCCAGGCAGCCTGAGAGCATCTGGGAGCCTAAGAGAAGGGGTACAGAAAAGGGAGAAGTTGGTGTGTCTGATGAAAAGAGCACTAGCCCAGAGGTCAGGAAATGTGGGTTCTAATCCTGCCCCCACACTGACCATGACTTTGGGCAAGTCACATCCATTTGCTGGGCATTGTGTTAAGTGAGGAGACTGGGTTAAATGTATGTCCCCAGGGCCCTCCCAGCTCTGACATTCTGCGTTCTAAGGCCCCTCCCAGCTCTGACATCCTGTGTTCTAAGGCCTTCCCAGCTCTGACATTCTGTTTTCTAAGGGCCCTCCCAGCTCTGACATTCTGTGTTCCAAGGCCCCTCCCAGATCTGACATCCTGTGTTCTAAGGACTCTTCCCTGTTGTGACATCCTGTGTTCTAAGGGCCTTCTCAGCTCTGACATTCTGTAGGCCCTCACAGATCTGACATTCTGTTTTAAGAGCCTTCCCAACTCTGATGTTCCATGTTGTTGGTGCTAACATTCTATGTTCTAAATTCTCCTGCTTCTAATATTCTTTCTTTTTTTCTGCCTGAGATAGTGTCTCAGCAGGTCATTTAAACTCTGAATCTCAGTTTCCTCCTCCGTAAAATGAGAATACTAGTAGCACCTAGCTCATGGGATTGTTATGAGGAGTAAATGAGATAATGTGTGTAAAGTATTTTGCACTTTACTTAGAACATTTTGTAAGTACATATAAATACCACCTGTTGTTTTTATTAACAGTGATAATTAACAACACCTTAGCTCTAACATTCTCTGTTCTAAAAGTGTGTTGGGTTTGAAATCCAGAATCCTAGATCTTCTAATCCTAGGTTTTGAATCTTGCCTCCAACATTCATCTAGTTGTGTGAAGATTGGCAAGTCACGTAATCTCTCTAAGCTTCAGTTTTCTCATCTGTAAAATGGGTCTAAAAAAACAGGTAGTCCCTACCTCGTAGGATTGTTGGGAGGTTCAAATGAGGTGATATATGTAAGGCTCTTTTTAAATTTTAAGGCAGAATATATATATATATATATATATATATATATATATATGTGCATATATATATATATATGTGACAATAATTATGATAATGCCCTTAGGCCCTTCCCATTCTCCCATTCAGTCTTTGGATCTTCTGTGACTTCACAGTTTTGCTTCTGGGTGGTCCTGCCTGGGTTAGGAGACAAGTGTTTCCTGAGCAGCTGCTCTATGGGAGGCCAGGGTGGAGATGATCTAGAGTCTAGGTCTGGAGCACCTGGGTTCCCCCCCACCTCCATCTTAGGCTGGGGTCCCTGGCAGCTCCCCTCCTCGTCTCAGGGTGTGGAGAGCCATGGGCTGCCCAGAATGGGTGTGACTCGGGCTGGAGATGGTGAGACTGTACTCACTCCTGACTCATGTTCAGCTGGGCAGGTGAAGCCTCAGCATTCTCCTTGGGGCAGAGGACATCCCCCACACCCAAGCCAGCCTGGTCCTGGGTCCCAGCTCATAGTGTCCAGGAAGCCATCCAGTTCCTATACCAAGTGGCTCTTTAGGAAGGATGACACTAGAGGAACTGACCCAACCCTCCCCAGGAGCCCTCCAACTTCTGACACTTCTCTGGAAAAGGGCAGGGTTTCTGGTCTTCTCCAATTATACACCTCTGAGTTTAGGTCCTAGACCAGGGGTGGAGAACCTGCGGCCTCGAGGCCACATGTGACCCTCTAGGTCCTCAAGTGCAGCCCTTTGACTGAATCCAAACTTCACAGAACTTCTGTCAGAGGGTGGCATTTGAGGACCTAGAGGGCCACATGTGGCCTTGAGGCCAAAGGTTCCCCACCCCTGTGTCGTTGCCCATTTGGTCACTCAAGTCTGGGAGTTGTATCTGTGTTGAAGCCTTGAAGTGCAGGGAGAGGCAGAGAATGCAGGGGGCCCGTGGGAAGCCGAGCATGGTGGCTGGCAGCTCTGTTCCAGCTGAGGGCAGTTTGCCAGGAACCTCCATCACCCCCCCTTCCCCCCCAACCTCTATTTCCCTCTCCTTAAGATTTTTTTTTTAGATTTAGAGTTAAATTCAGATTTTAGTATTTAGATTTTAAGATCATCTAATACTATTTCCTCATTTTACAAATGAGGAAAGTATGGTCAAGTGACTTATCTAAGATCACATAGATAAGTAACAGATTTGAATCCAAGTCTTCTGACTCAAAAAGGTTATCGATGACTTTGATAAAGTCCCAGACTTTGCAGATGACACAAAGTTGGGAAGGATAAATAACACCCCAGAGGCCAGAGGGAACATCCAAAAAACTTTGGCCAGGAGAGAGCACCGGGTAGAATCCAGTAAGATGAAATTTAGGAGGTATAAATGTAAAGTCTTACAGGTGGCTTTAAAAATCAGTTTCACGTGCAGTGGATAGAGCACTGGCCCTGGAGTCAGGAGGATCTGAGTTCAAATCTGGCCTCAGACACATAACACTCACTAGCTGTGTGACCCTGGGCAAGTCACTTAACCCCATTGCCTAGCCAAAAAAAAAAAAACACAAAAAAACACAAACTAAAAAAAAAAGAAAAAGAAAAAATTTTTTTTAAATTAAAAAAAAAATCAGTTTCACAAGAGACAGCCAAGTGGCAGAGTGGATATGGTATTGAACCTCTAGTCAGGAAGACATGAATTCAAATCCTGACTCACACTCTAACTAGCTGTGAGACCCTGGGCAGCTGACTTAACTTGCTTCCATTTCCTCCTCTGTAAAATGGGGTTAATATCAGCTACTGTCCAAGGTTGTTGCATGTGAATCAAATGAGATAACATATGTATGACACTTGGCCAGCCTTCAGGTCATGTATCAATGTCAGCTAGTATTAGTATGGGGGAGTATGGTTAGGCAGAGTTCTGAAAAAAGTCTAGGGGTTCTAGTGGACCACAGTCTCAGTGTGAGTAGGCAGCTTGACAGGCTAGCCAAAAACACTAGGGAAGTTTCCAGCTCCATTAACAGCGGCATTACTTCCAGGAATAAGAAAGTGATTGATATCAGCTGAGGGAGCTGGGGAGCTTTATGCTGGAGAAGACAAGAATGGGGGCAGGGTGAAGGGGATTGGTTGGAAGAAGGGTTAGGCTTGTTCTGTTTAGCCCCTGAAGGCAGTGGCAGTTACAGAGGGTGGCAGCTGAGAGATATTGCACTTGGCCTTGATCTCTAGAAAAACTTCCAAGCCATTAGAGCTGTCCATAAGTGGAAAGGGCTTCCTCAGGAGGGAGTGTCTCCTCCCTCCCCGCAGGCTAGAGGACACTTCCTCAGGTTGGCTATCGTTGGGATTCCCTTGGCATGTAAGTTGGACTGGGGGACCACTGAGGTCACTTCCAATATGGCGGGCAGTAGTGCTGAGCAGGGCCTGTGGAATCAAGTGGAATCAATCAGTCAATCAGTAACCATTTATGAAGTGCTTACTCTGTGCCAGGCAGTGTGCTAAGTGCCAGGAATACAAAAAAAAAAAAAGGCAAAAGACATCCCTGCCCTCAAGGAGCTTACAATCCAGCAGAAGAGCCAGCATGCAAACAAACACATACAAAGCAAGCCGTAATCCTTGTGTCTGGGACCATTTTGGCAAGAGGCTCTTGAGATCCCTATCTGCGAGGTTCTGAAGCTTGGAGCACTGCCCTCCTCTCAGGGCCTTCTTCCTCCCATCATTTCTGGGCTGGTTTTTTGGTCCTTCTCCCATCTTTCTTCATCTTTGCCTCCTTTGCTGATTTCTTCCCAATCCTCTAATGTCTGCCCCTCGCAAGGAGGGTATTCTTTTCCTTGGTATTCTTATCCACTTGCACAACCTTCCCCACCATCTTTACACAGGTGACTCCCAAGTCTTTATATCTAGCCCTGGCCTCACTTTTGACTTCCAGCCCCACATCCCCAGGTGTTTGGGGGAATCTCTTCACCCCAGTTTCCCAAGGGCTTCTCAAACAATATATCCAAGCCTGAACTCAGTGTCTTTTCCCTGTAATGCTGCCCTTCCCTCTGATGTGACTGCTTCTGTCTGTGGGGCCCCCATTCACCTGGTCTTCCCTGTCCAAGACCTCGTAGTAGGCAGGGTAACTCTTGCCTCTTCCCTCCTCCATTCCTCATATCTAATTAGTGGCCAAGTCCTGTTGATTTTATCTCTGCAGCGTCCTTCCTCTCTATTCCCACTGCTACTACAGTCCCCCTCCCACACCCCAACCCCTCCTGGACCATTGTAATAACCTCCTAACAAATCTTTCCCCTTGGTGACCATGTGTGTAGGAATGAACAGAGAACAGACCCAGAGCCTGCTGGAGAGACATTAATGAGTTCTGGATTGACACCTATCCCTCTTGCAGAGAACTCTACTTGGCCGAGCATCGTGGGGGGGGGGGACTTTGGGTCCTGAAGCCTTTCACTCTTTTTCCTTCTACTCACAGGAGGTCAAGAGCTCCCGTTATTGAATGAATTTGGCCCTGAACCTTACAGATATCTTCAGCTAGGTGGTGTAGTGGATAGACCATCAGGCCTGGAGTCAGGAAGACCTGAGTTCAAATCTGATCTCTGCCACTTACTAGTTATATCACCCTGGGCAAGTCACTAAACCTCTATTTGTCTCAGCTTTCTCATCTGTAAAATGGGGATGATAATGCCTAACTCCCTGAAGGTGGTTGTGAGGATCAAATGAGATAATCACTTTAAGGTACTTAGCACAGTGTCTGGAGTGCCGTAAGGGCTGTCTTTGTGGTAGCTTTTCTTGTACTTCTGAATCTTCCTTCATTCTTCTCTGCTTGGGGCTTAGTCTGACCTCTTGTGTCCTTTCTCTTACAGGAGGAGTGATGGGCAGAGCCAGCCCTTCCCTCATGCATTAGACCTGCCCCGAGTGGACTCTGCTCCTCCCCACGCAGCTTCCCTCTATCCCAAGGTAAGGTGACCTCTCCTCCCCACCTCAGGAGGCCTTTCAGTGAAGAGGCTGGGAGGAGGGAGGGATGAAGTGAGGTGAGCAATGATCGGATGAGCTTGGCCTGAATTTTTCACAACCCCAGGGGATGGGCCTAGTGACGAAGGATTAGAGTCAGGGGATCTGGGTTTGAATCCTGACTATCACTTACTAGCTGAGTGATGCCTAGCAAATGACCTCTCTCTGAATGTCAGTTTTCTTATCTGTAAAATGACAGTGGCAGGATTGGGCTAGGTGACCTCTGAAGTTCCATCTGGCTCTAGATGTATGACCCTGTGACCTCTCTGGGCCTCAGTTTCCTTATCTTTAAAATGGGGGTAATAATATTTGCCTGCCTCCTCAGGTTGTTATGATGAAAGCTTTTTTTTTTATCCCTTAAGTGTTATAGAAGAGGAAGCAGTTATTATAGTATCTTCACCACCATCATAATCGTCACCATCATCATCATTCACTGTCACCAGTCTCCTGGTTCTTGGCAGTGTGGTACTGTGGAATGAAGTGGTACAATGGTTAGAGTCAAGAAGACCTGAGTTCAAATCAAGCCTCAAATATCTCCTAGCTGTATTATCCTGGGCAAGTTATTTAACCTTTGTTTGCCTCAATTTCCTCAACTGTAAAATGGAGTTCATAAAAACACCTGCCTCACAGGGTTATGAAAATCAAGAGATAATATTTGTAAAACATGGTTGGCACAGTGCCTGACACATAGTAGGTGCAAATAAATGCTTATTCCCTTCTCTTTTTCCTATGGCCCCTTCCACCTCTGACTTCCTGTGTTCTAAGGCCCCTCCCAGCTCTGACATTCCATGTTCTGAGGGCCCTCTCAGCTCTGACCTTCTGTGTTCTTTTTTTTTTTAATATCAACTAAAGTTTTATTTTAATGAATTTTTTTGGTAAAGAGTATTTTATTTTTCCATTTAAATGTGAAGATAGTTTTCAACATTCATTTTTATAAGATTTTGAGTTCCAAATTTTTCTCCCTCTTTCCCTTCTCTCCCCCCTCTCCAAGACAGCAAGCAATGTGATATAGGTTATACATACGCAATCATGGAAACATATTTCCATATTAGTCATGTTGTAAAAGAAGAAACAGAACAAAAGGGAAAAGACACACACACACACACACACACACACACACAAAGTGAAAATAATATGCTTTGATCTACATTCAGGCACCATAATTCTTTCTCTGGACGTGGATAGTGTTTTCCATCATGGGTCTTTTGGAATTGTCTTGGATCATTGTATTATGTGAAGAGCTAAGTCAGTCATAGTTGATCATTGCACAGTGTGGCTGTTACTGTGTACAATATTCTCCTGGTTCTGCTCACTTCACTCAGCATCAATTCATGTAAGTCTTTCCAGGTTTTCTGAAATCCACCTGCTCATCATTTCTTATAGCACAATAATATTCCATTACATTCATATGAATACCACAACTTGTTCGGCCATTGAAGGGATGATGGGAATCCCTTCAATTTCCAATTCTTGACCATCACAAAAAAGAGCTGCTATAAATATTTTTGTACTTATAGGTCCTTTCCATTCTTTTATGATCTCTCTGGGATACAGACCTAGTAGCAGTATTGCTGCAACAAAGGGTATGCACAGTTTGGTTTTCCCTTGGGCATAGTTCCAAATTGCTCTCCAGAATGGCTGGCTCAGTTCACAATGCCACCAGCAATGCATTAGTGTCCCAATTTTCCCACATCTTCTCCAACGTTTATCATTTTCCTTTTCTGTCATATTAGCCAATCTGACAGGTGAGAGGTGGTACCTCAGAGTTGCTTTAATTTGCATTTCTCTATTCAATAGTGACTTAGAGCATTTTTACATGACTTTAGATAGCTTTAATTTCTTCATCTGAAAACTGCCTGTTCGTATCCTTTGACCATTTATCAATTGGGCAATGGCTTGTGTTCTTACAAATTTGACTCAGCTCTCTATGTATTTGGGAATTGAGGTCTTTATCAGAAACACTTACTGTAAAAATTGTTTCCTATCTTTCTCCTTTCCTTCTAATCTTGGTCGCATTGGTTTTGTTTGTGCAAAACCTTTTTAATTTAATGTAATCAAAGTTATCCATTTTGTATTTCATAATGTTCTCTAGCTCTTGTTTGATCTTAAATTCTTCCCTTTTCCATAGATCTGACAGATAAACTATTCCTTACTCTCCTAATTTTCTTATAGTATCACCCTTTGTGTCTAAATCATGTACCCATTTTGACCTTATCTTGGTATATTGATGTGAGATGTTGGTCTATGCCTAGTTTCTGCCATACTGTTTTTCAGTTTTCCTAGCAGTGTTTGTCAAATAGTGAGTTCTTTTCCCAGAAGCTGGAGTCTTTGAGTTTATCAAATGGTAGATTACTATAGTAATTTACCACTTTGTCTTGTGTACCTAACCTATTCCACTGATCCACCATTCTATTTCTTAGCCATTACCAAGAAGTTTTGATGATTGCTGCTTTATAATATAATTATACAATCTGTTTATATAATACAATTTAAAATCTGGTATGGCTAGGCTACCTTTTTTTTTCATTTTTTTCCATTAATTCCCTTGATATTCTTGACCTTTTGTTCTTCCAGATGAATTTTATTGTTTTTTTAGCTCTGTAAAATATTTTTGGTAGTTTGATTGGTACGGCCCTGAATAAGTAAATTAATTTAGGTAAAATTGTTATTTTTGTTATATTAGCTTGACCTACCCATGAGCAATTGCTATTTTTCCAGTTGTTTAGATCTGACTTTATTTCTGTGAAAAGTGTTTTGTAGTTGTGTTAATATAGTTCCTGGGTTTGTCTTGGCAGATAGACTCCCAAATATTTTCTATTGTCTACAATTATTTTAAATGGAATTTCTCTTTCTACCTCTTGCTGCTGAACTTTGTTGGTTATATATAGAAATGTTGATGATTTATATGGTTTTATTTTATATCCTGCTGCTTTGTTAAAGTTGTCAATTATTTCAAGAAATTTTTTAGTTAATTCTCTAGGATTCTCTAAGTATATCATTATATCATCTGCAAAGAGTGATAGTTTTGTTTCCTCATTGCCTATTCTAATTCCTTCAATTTCTTTTTCTTCTCTTATTGCTAAAACTAAAATTTCTAGAACAATATTGAATAATAGTGGCAATAATGGGCATCCTTGTTTCAGCCCTGATCTTATTGGGAAGACTTCTAGCTTATCCCCATTACAGATAATGCTTGCTGATGGTTTTAAATAAATGCTACTTATCATTTGAAGGGAAGCTCTATTTATTCCTATGCTCTCTAGTGTTTTTTTTTCTAGTGGTTTTAATAAGAATGGGTGCTGCATTGTGTCAAAAGCTTTTTCTGCATCTATTAAGATAATCATATGATTTCTATTCATATGGTCAATTATACTAGTAGTTTTCCTGGTGTTGAAGCAGCCTTGTATTCCTGGTATTAATCCCACCTGGTCATAGTGTATTAATCTGATGATAAATTGCTGTAATCTCTTTGCTAATATTTTATTTAAAATTTTTGCATCATTATTCATTAGAAAAATTGGTCTATATTTTTCTTTCTTTGTTTTGGCTCTTCCTAGTATAGATATCAGCATTATATTTGTGTCATAAAAGGTATTTGGTAGGATTCCTTCTTCATCTTTTTTTCCAGATAGTTTATATAGTATTGGAATCAATTGCTCTTTAAATGTTTGACAGAATTCACTTGTAAATTCATCTGGCCCTGGGAATTTTTTCTTAGGGAGTTCATTGGTGGTTTGTTCAATTTCTTTTTCTAAAATGGGATTATTTAAGTATTTTATTTCCTCTTCTGTTAATATAGGCAATTTATATTTTTGTAAATATCATCCATTTCACTTAGATTGTCAGATTTATTGGCATACAGTTGGGCAAAATAGTGACTAATTATTGCTGTAATTTCCTCTGCATTGGTGGTGAATTCACCATTTTTATCTTTGATACTGGTAATTTGGTTTTCTTCTTTCTTCTTTTAAACCAAATTTACCAAAAGTTTATCTATGTCATTGGTTTTTTCATAAAACCAGCTCTTAGTTTTATTTATTAGTTCAATCGTTTTCTTACTTTCAATTTTACTAGTCTCTCCTTTGAGTTTCAGAATTTCTAATTTGGTGTTTAATTGGGAATTTTAAAATTGTTATTTTTCTAGCTTTTTTTTTTTTGGCTAGGCAATGGGGTTAAGTGACTTGCCCAGGGTCACACAGCTAGTAAGTGCTATTTGTCTGAGGCCAAATTTGAACTCAGGTCCTCAGGGCTGGTGCTCTATCCACTGCTCCACCTAGCTGCCCCTCTAGCTTTTTTAAATTGAATGCCCAATTCATTCATGTGCTCTTTCTTTATTTTATTCATATAAGCGTTCAGAGACATAAAATTTCCCATAAGTACTACTTTGGTCAATCCCATAAATTTTGGTATGTTGTCTCATTATTGTCATTCTCTTTGATGAAATTATCAATTGTTTCTGTGATTTATTCTTTGACCTACTCATTCTTTAGGATTAAGATTATTTGGTTTCCAATTAATTTTTAATCAACCTTTCTGTGGCCCTTTATTACATGTAATTTTTATTTCATCATGATCTGAAAAGATTTTATGCCCTAATACATGGTCAATTTTTGTGTAGGTGCCATCCACGTACTGCTAAGAAAAAGCTATTGTCCATTCTATCCCCATTCAGTTTTCTTCAGAGGTCTATCATATCTAACTTTTCTAAAATTCTGTTTACCTCTTTAACATCTTTCTTGTTTATTTTGTGGTTAGATTTATCTAGTTCTGAGAGAGAGATTTATATATAGTATAGTTTGCTGTCTATTTCTTCCTGTAACTCACTTAACTTCTCCAAGAATTTGGATGCTATACCATTTGGTGCATATATGTTTTGCATTCATATTACTTTATTGCCTGTGGTATCTTTTAGCAAGATGTAGTTCCCTTTCTCGTCTCTTTCAATT